GTGGAATCACACAGTATTTGTGACTGGTTTATTTCACATAGCATAATATCCTCAAGGTTCATCCATGTTGTCACATACGACAGGATTTCCTTTTTTTTTTTTTTTTTTTTTTTGGTTAATCCTCACCTGAGGATATTTTTCCATTTATTTTCAGACAGAGTGGAAGGAAGAGGGGGGAGGCAGGGATGGGGAGAGAGAGAGAGAGAGAGAGAGAGAGAGAGAGAGAGAAACATCTATGTGAGAGAGAGACATCGATTGGTTGCCTCCTGCAAGACCCCCAACCAGGGCTGGGGATCAAACCTGAAACCCAGGTACATGCCCTTGACCAGTAATCGAATCCATGACGCTTTGGTCCTCTCAATGATGCTCCAACCGCAAAGCCAAACCAGCCAGGGCAGGATTTCCTTTTACTTTTTTTAGAGAAAGAGGAAGGGAAAGAGAGATAGAAACATTGATGTGAGAGAGAAACATCGATTGGCTGCCTCCTGCATGCCCCCCATGGGGACTGAACCTGCAATCCAGGCATGTGTCCTGCCTGACCAGGAATCCAATCAAACTGGGACATCTCAGTCCATGGGATGATACTCAATCCACTGAGCCACACTGGCCGGGCAGAATTTCCTTTTTTAAGGCTGAGTAATATTCCATTGCATGCACATTTTGTCTATTTATTCATCCACCAATGGACACTTTTGGCTGTTATGAATAATGCTGCTATGAATATGAGAATCCAAGTATCTCTTCTAGACCTTCCTAGACCTTCCTTTCAATTATTTTGGGTATATATACCCAGAAGTGGAGTTGCAGGGTCATATGGTAATTCTATTTTTAATTTTCTGAGGAACTGCCAGGCCATTTTCCACAGCAGCTGAACCATTTTACATTCCCACAGTTGCCCACTTGTGTGTGTGATTTATGAGGGTTCTTCCCAACCTGGCCTTGAGGCTTCCTCCCTAAGGGCTGAAGCAGTGATTTGCATTTCTTCTCCTGCCCCCCAACTCCACCCCACCCCCACCTGGATTCCCAAACTCTGGGCTTAGCCCTCTCTGGGTGCCCTGTGCTCTTGGATCAGCTGGGGGTAGGCGAGAGGGAGGGGATCCCCCCATATGGAAAGTTCCATTGCAGAGAAAGCCTTGTGCTCTCCACCTCTGCATCCAGGGCCCAGGGCTCACAGGGTGGGGCTTCTTGGAAGGGCAGCTGTCTGGGATGTGATGAGTCATCCCAGACCAGGAGGCTGTCACCAGCCTGGGTGTTGAGCCCCAGGCTGTACCAGGATCAGCTTGCATCCAAACAGAAAGTTAATGAAAAAAGCAAGCGCTCCTCTCAAAAGGGGCCCTCCCTTGGCTCCTAGAGCTGGGTGTTTTCACAGACAGGCCCCTCTGCCAGCGGGAATCGTGAGGTAGTGCCTGGCGCCTCCTGAAAGCCCTGGCTTCCGGCCTGATTGACAGGGCTGCCTTAAGACCAGTGGGTCCTCCCAGGGCCGCTCCGAGCAGCCCATCTCCATCTGGATCTCGAGTTGTCGTATGGCCACTTGGGCAGAAATGCTCAAGGACAGAGGGCGAAGGGGGACCCAAGGGTTGGAGTCCCCACCACATTTTCGATCAGATGTTTGTGGACAGGAAAATGAGCCTTCATATGACTCAAAGAGCAAAAAGAAGGTAAAGAAAGTCCCCTTTTATGGGTGGAACTGGGGGACGGGCCTGTGACCCTGATTAGGAAAAGCCGTTGCCAGCTCCAGCAAGGTTTCTGTCTTATGTCTGTTGGGAATTATTTCACAGAAGACTACCTCAGTGACCACAGTCTCTCTGCTTTCACCTTTTAGTTCTCCAGAATCATAGCTGCTTCCCTAGAAAAGGCATTGTATCCATTATCTTTAGATAAATCGCCATACATTAAGGTGCACAAGTCTTATGTGTGTAATTTGATGGGTTGGGAAGTGTAAATACCCATGTAACCAACACCCCAGTGAGACAAAGGATGTTTCCATCACCCGAGGAAGCTCCTCGGGCCCTTTCCCAATTGACCCCCCCCCCCAAGGCAGTGATTGGTTGATTTCTATTAATATAGATTAATTTTGCTCTCTTCTGAATAATATTTAACTGAAATAATACAGCATGTACTTTTTTATATCTGGCTTCTTCTGTGCAATATAATGTCTGAGAGATTCATCTGTGTTGTATGTTTATCAGGAGTGTGTCCTTTTGTTTATTTCTGAGTAGTATTTCATTGTATAAACATACAATTTGTTTATGAATTCTGCAAGAACTTTTTTGAGTGGAGAGGGAGAAACCCACTGGGCTCCGCACGCAGCACGAGTGTGTGTTCCTTCGTCTCCGCACCCGTCCACTCACTCGGCACCGGGCCCTGCTCTCACTGGGTGCAGAGAGCAACCAGAAAGGGCAGAGAGGATGGGGACAGTGCAGGACAAAGGCATGCACGAAGGAGCTGCAGCTAGAACATTCTGCTGCTTTGAGGTGGGGAGGCTTAAGGTTTCAGAGAGGAGGTGGTTTCTCCATGAGCGCTCAGGGACGGTGGGTTTAGAATTCTCAGAGAAGCACGGTGGAGAGGCTTCTGCTGGGAGCAGAAGGAACAAATGAAGCATAGGAGGCCCCACAGACAGACGTTACTACGTTCACTGCTCTGCAGCGGCCCACAACCCAAGGCCTAGGACTGGCAGCCTGAACCTGCCAGGCAGCTGGCATCATCTGTCCCAGTTCTGGGCCCAGAGGTGGGGCAGGAGGGGACCCAGTCAGCAGCACATTTCAGGGAAGGGGGACAGAGGGACAGGGTGGCTGTGTTAAAACAGATCCACGCTGTCTCTGGAGTTGTCCTCCTGCCATCTGCAGTTGGTCTCCCAGGCTAGGCCTCTGAGCAGCTTGTCTGATTGTCCCACCTTCCTGCAGGGCAGACAGGCCACCTGCCTGAGGCAGGGGCTGGGCCGGCACCAGCAAGGAGCCGTGGGGCCTGCCTCCTCCTGCCTTCTCTCTGCTTCTCCTCCATTACTCCCTCTACTTCTCCTCCCCTTTTAGTCCTCTCCAGTGAGGAGCTGAGATGGCCGTGAGTCATTCGGCAGGAAGCACGTTGACACTCAGTGACTCGGGTAACTGCGTTTTTGTGTTGAGCAAGGGCCTTCACACTCCGTGCCCGCCTCCCCCCAGGCCATGGCACCCCGACCTTCGGACCTGTTCACACCCCAGCCTGGCAGAGGGCAAGGTCACCGAATCCGTAAGAGTTGGGATGTAGCCAAAAACACAACAGTAATAGCTCACCTTGTATTGGCAGAGCCCTTTGTACTTTGTCAGACGTGACCGGGCTTGCTGCTCCTTCAGCCAGCCCGTGCCTGCCGAGCGCGCGCTGTGGGCCAGGCCGTGGAAAGGTGAACGCGATAAGGTCGATGACTTTCAGGAGCCTACAGTCTGGCTGCGCAAATATGTGAACAAATAAGTCTAGGCAATGGTGGGGCAGGTATATGTAAAATACAGACCAGGGCTCAAGAAGGGAATGGCTGCGTACACCGGGGTGTGTGGGGAGGGGCATCAGAGAGGAGACTGAGTGGGGCAGCAGGGAGAGGTCATTTTGGGTGGACTGGGGGTGCATTCTAGGCAGCAGGAGCAACTTGAGCAGGGTCAGCGGTGGGTGCAGGGGGTCAGGTGTGGATGTGGCAGTCACGGTGTCTTAGGCAGCTCAGATGCTGTAACCTAGTACCACAGGCAGGGTGGCTCATGTACAGCAGACATTCATTTCTGACAGTTCTGGAGGCTGGGAGTGCGAGGGTTCTGAGGAGAGGCATCGTCTAGGTCGTAGGCTGCCGACTTCTCCATGTGTGCTCAGTGGTGGGAGGAGGGAGGGAGCTCTCTGGGGCCTCTTTCAGAAGGGGACTAATCCCATTAGTGAGGGGCCACCTTCGGGGCCTGATCACCTCCCCAAGGCCCCGCCTCCTAAGACCATCACAGTGGGTGTTTTCAACATGAATCTGGTAGGGGGTGTGCAGGAGGCAGCCGATCTGTTTCACTCTCACGTCGATGTTTCTCTCCTCTGTTTCTCTCTCTCTAAAAATCAATAAACTATAAAAGAAGAAAAAGTTTACCATCTTAACCATTGTCCAGTGTACGGTTCAGCTGTGGTAACTGCGTTCACGCTGAGTAGTTTGTTTGGAGGCAGGCTTTCCCTGGCATTTCCAGGCCGACCTCTTCCTGCTGAGCAAGCCCAGTGGAAAGAGGAACATTTCCAGGACTGGTTCTCTCAGCTCAGACCAGGCCATGTGCTCCTCCTCGGCCCGACTGTGGCCCTGGCGGTGGGTCAACCTGGTTCATGTGCTGCCCTGGAGGAGGTGTCCTCGCCCTTGAACCATGCAGGCTGAAACTGCCTTAGGGGTGCTCAAGGGGAAAGTGAGGTGCTGCTGTTGAAGGAACGGGAAGTGGAGGCAAACACAGCAGATGTCCATCCACTCCAGGCAGATAAGACCTGAGTGCAGATCACAGGCGAGGTGGGAACTGGTTCCACGGGAGAGGTGCATGTAAAATGTCAGGTAACTCGAGCACTGAGCATCTGCCGTGTGCCAGGGATTGTGGAAGTCCAAAAGAATCACATTTTGTCCACATGGAGCTTTTAGCTCTCGGGGCAGAGAAGGGCTGGGCATAGATAACCACTCTGCAATGTGGAACTTGTGAGTGCCTTGTGAGTGTTTTTTTCTGGAAGGAAGGTCAGGAATGGTTCCTGGAGAGGTTGGTCTGGAAGCATAGGCAGGAGTTGGACATGGGGGTGTCACGGTGTGGGGCATGGGTGCCTGCGTGCCTGCTGTCTGCCCACCGCCTGATCCCAGCTGCTGCTAATACCACCATTGCTTAGCCGCCTCCTTCCCCTCCGTGGACCTCCACCTCCTGCTGGCTGCTCCAGAGCGTAGGTCTCCTCCGTTGAGTCCACCCTGGGCCCCATGGGAAGGACCTGGAGTCCGGGGGGCCTGAGCAGGGCAGGTTTGAGGTGCTCTCCTCCTCCTGCAGGCCTCTCCCTGGAACGCCTACCCAACTCCATCGCTTCCCGCCACCGCCTGACTGAGAGGGAGGAGGAGGTGATCACCTGCTTCGAGAGGGCCTCCTGGATCGCTCAGGTGTTCCTGCAGGAACTGGAGAAGGTGAGCTGGGAATTACAGCGCCGTGCTCAGAGCTGCCCTCTGTTGAGAACCTAGATCTAAGCCCACAGGTCAGCCTTGTGCAAGTTAGAAGAAGCACCCTGCCCCCCTCCAAAGACACACTACCTCGCTGGTAGGAAAACTCACAGTAGACAGATTCCGTTAGAAGAAGACGCTCCACTGCCAGGAAGTCATTTTAATAAAGAGAGAGTCCGCATTGTCTTTGAGTGGCCAGCAGCCTCAGTGGCCCGGCTTGTATGACCAAATGTGACAGCCATGTCTGTATCCATTAACTTGTTTACTCCTCACAGCAGCTCTGAAGCAGGTCTATTCCTCCCTGTTTGTAGGTGAGGTTCAGAGTGATCAAACCATTTGCTCACCACTGTCCCCTGGAGCGGTACAGTCAGGCTGTCATATGGACACTTTCTAGTACGGGGGTGTCCTGGGAGCTCCCTACTGGCACCCCTAGGGGAAGTGAGGTCCAGGGCTCATGCTCCAAGCCCTTCACAGCTGGCAGGGAGCCAGCCACCAGGGGTCTAGAAGTTCTCAGGCCCTCTCACCTCCTCGCCCCCCGGGGTGTGGGGGCGCTGTACGAACTGTCTGTGGGATGGCAGTTCTAGGTGTTAACATACTGGGACGTTGCCCCCGTTCCCCCTTCTGGGGGGCTCTTGGTTTATTTTGGAGAGAACGAACAAGCATGTTCAACAAAGATGTGCTAACAGTCACCGAATCCCTGCTTGTCTGCCAGGCACGGAGTGCTTTCCGGTCCTGTGATCCAGTGCGCGCACCGCGGGCTGGACGGGATAGTAAAAGAGCTTCTCGAAATCCAGACAGTTAATATATAGCATCGGCAGGATTTGGACACTGGGAGTGTGGCTGTGGTCACCTGTCGAGGAGAATTTGGGGGTGGAGCTTAGGCATTCTCTTATGAAATGCTTTTAGCTGTCAGACAGCAGGTGCCATGGCAGAGTGGATGACGACTGGCATCCTGCAGGAGGGGGTGGTGCTGAGCTGAGAGACTTTGAGCCCAGCAGACCTTTGAACCTCACTCATCTACTTGGGCAAATGTCAAAATGTCAGCCCAGCCTCTGTCTTTGCGATGAGCTTTTTGGAGGAGTCCTCAGGCCAGGCCAGCGCAACCTCGGCACTTCTGACATTTGGGGCTGCAGTTTGTGAAATGTTTAGCAGCATCCCTGGCCTATCCCCACTGGATGCCAGCAGCCATTTTTGGTTGTGACAATGTCTGCAGATACTGCCAGATGTCCCTAGAGGGCAAGGTCACCTTCGTTGAGAGTCACTGCCGTAGAGCCCCCTCCACCGCTGGACTTCAGGAGGAGGGCTCAGCAAAGACAGGACTCGAGAATGTTCCCTGGCAGAGGTCCATGGGGAGACCTGACGGGGCTGAGTTGACCTCTGCCGAAGTCACGTGGGTCACTGCTAGCCAGCAGTGTTTTAGGTGCTTTTCATGGTTGAATTGAATGGGGTTTGAAGGAAACTTCTGTGAAAAAGATAAAGCCTTCCATTCAGCCAGAAGCCGAGGCTTTGAGCTTTTAAAAGGAGATTGACTTGATGAGCTACAATGGTGCCCAGGCCTGGAATCAGTGCCCAGTGGTGTGGTGGACAGACCAGTGGGCCCTGATAACTGGTTATCTCAAGTGGAGGGCAAGCCAGAAACCCTGTGCATTCTCAGAAATGCTGTGTGTTCCTTCGAAGACCTAGCTCCAACCTCTAAGGAACTGAGACTATCTCTCTCTTTTTTTTTAATCTTCACCCAAGGATGTTGTTTTTTTTTTTCATTTATCTTTAGATAGAGTGGAAGGGAGTAGGGGTGGGGGAGAGAGAAACATCGATGTGAGAGAGACACATCGATTGGTTGCTTCCTGCACGACCCCAACCGAGGCCAAGAAATGAACCACAACTGAGGTACGTGCCCTTGGCTGGAATTGAACCCACAACTCTTTGGTCCGCAGGCTGATACTCTAACCACTGAGCCAAACCAGCCAGGGCCTGAGAACATCTCTTAAATCTACTTTGATTTCTGAAAAATAGGGTGGCTGACTTGTTGAATTTTCTCTTGGATCAGAGAATGGCAGTGGCCGGTCTTGGTGGGGCTAAGTGGCCCTCTTAAAGCTGAGGCTGAAGGACAGCTCAGTTAATAAATATAACTGTTCCTCAGCTTTTCTGGAACCAGGGGTACGTGCCCTTGGGCTATTTTGATGTTTCATGATTATATGACAGGGACAGTGTGGTGCCTGGCGTATGCTAGGCCCGCAGGTGTGTGTTGAATGATTGAACCAGTGAGAGTAGAGATAGCCTGGAATCTGTAGCTGGCCAGACTGTGACTTCAGACACTTTCTGAGCCTCAGTTACCTCATCTATAAAATGCAGACAAAACCAGTTTTGTGGGGTTGCTGCGGCATCGCATTTGGACAGGGAGAGAGTGCTATAGACATACTGTAAATCAAAGCCAGTTAGGTTGGATTGGGTCTGAGAATTGCACCACGTTCCATGGGGTGGCTGGGGACTTGGGATGGTCATGGGGCCGTCTGTGCCGGGGCTGACCCTCGCCCCAGCCCCTCTGCCTCAGAACTTTGAGATGGTGTTCCCTTTGTCTGTTCCCCTTCCAGGTCACAAATAACACATCGCGGCACCTGAAAGGCTCTCACCCCACTGACTATGAGCTCACCTACTTCCTGGAAGCTGCCCTCCAGAGCGCTTACGTGACAAACCTGAAGAAGGGGTAGGTCGCCGGCCACCAAGTGGGGACGTGGACGCTTTTCTCTGGGCCAGGTGCTCCTGACGTTGGCGGCGTTTAGTCTAGTGGGCTGCTTGTTCAGTTTGTCAGACCGAGCTGTTCAGAGGCACCGTCGGGGAAGGGCCCGCTTCAGGAGCAATAAAGCCTGCACACACTTCGCGGGAGAGCTGCGTCTCTCGACGGGAGAGAGCGAAGGCCGTGAGTGGGCAGCAGGTGCCCATCTGCTGTTCACGGTCACCTCAGGTGTTGGGTGAAATCATTTCGCTTCCCTGAGCCTCAGTCTCCCCACAAAATGAAGTGGGGAAGTTGATTCCTGCTCATTCCACTTTCCAGGGGCAGTGAGACGTGAGGGAAGTGTGGTGGAGATAAAGCCTGGCATGGTTTTGGGGACGCCAGTGTTTCTGCTGATGAGGTGGCAGAAGAGGGTGTGCTCCTGTGCGTTTACCAGAGGGCTCGGGGGGTGCTCGCCTGCCTTGGACCGGGGAACCGAGCTGCCAGGCGCCTTCCTGTCTCTTGTGCCCTCCCTGCATGAAGAGTGCAGTGGATGCTTCCCTGCGTGGGAAGGGGAAGCGGCAGGGGTGCCGGGCCCAGAGGGGTGCTCGTGGGGAGTGTTGGGGGGGGGGGCTGCAGAATCAGGAGGACGTGCTGAAGGTAACTGTGGCTCTTTGGCGGTCCTGCAGGGCCAGGCCTGCCTGCTGGGAGTGCAGAGACTCGGGTGGGGCTGGGTTTCCAGCAGTCTCTGCGGCAGAGACTTTGTGCCCATCAGCTCCCTCCTCGGCATCATCACTCCCCTGCGCAGACACTGGTCTGGGGCTGTGAGGACATCCTGGGCCCGAGGGGCTCCATGTGGTCACAGGTGAGGAAACTGGGGTCAGGACCACAGAGCTTTCTCTGCTCTGACTGGCTAGGGCCCTTTGAAGCCATGTTTTATTTTTGTTAAAGTTCACTTCATTCATTCTTTAAACTTAACTTTTTTTTTTCTTTTTAATTAATTCATTTTTGTTATAGATGTTTCTCCTTTTCCGCCTAGACACCCTCCTCCCGATCCCGCCCCTCCCACAGCATTGTTGTCTGTGTGAACTTAACATTTTTTGAAGAGGCAATTCTTGCACGTGATACCATGACTGAACTTGAAACCTTTTGCTTTTGCTTTCTAAAAAAATTTCTCAAGTGCTAGGCCAGGTATGCGGTGGTGTCCCCACTGGGGACTTGTGTACCAGGAGGCCCAGAGGGCAGCGACAGCTCACCCCCCAAGGGTGGGTCTGGCCCTGCAGCCCTGAGCTCCTCAGACCACCCTGTGGCCCCAGAGGTGGCCACATCACAAGGACACTGGGGAGCATGCTGGCTCTGCTCCAGCTCCACCATCTGCTGTTCTTGTCCGTTTTTCATTGCTGAGTTTCAGTTTCAGGGGACGGTGGCCTAGAGAGCTGGTTCCTGTTTTCACTGCCCAGGCAGCTGTGCCGGCTGCCTCTCTAGCTGGAGACTGTCATTGCCCTGGCTCTGCCCCCTCCCCCCAGGAATCTCTAGGTGGCGGTTGTAGCTCAGGGATGACTGGGGGACAAGAGGAGATGCCACCCTCAGCCCCTACCTGCTGAGATTTGGAAGAAGGGGCTGCTGAACCTCTGCAGCCTGTTTTTGCAAATAAAGTTTTATTGGCACATAGCCACACCCCTTATTTACATTCTTGTTTCACCCACAGAGCTGAGCAGTTGAGATTGAGATCTGGTAAGGCAAAGCCTAAAGCATTTCCTCTCTGGCCCTTTGTAGAAGAGAGTGCTGCTCTACATTTAAGAATCTCTCCCCCGCCCTGGCTGGTTTGGCTCAGCGGTTAGAATATCAGCCTTCGGTCCACAGAGACCCGGGTTCAGTTCCCGCTAAGGGCACGTACCTCCGTTGCAGTTTGTCCCCGGCCCTGGTTGGGTCATGCAGGTGGCAACCACTTGATGTGTCCCTTTCACGTCAATGTTTCTCTCTCTCCCTCTCTCCCCCTCCCTCCCACTCTATCTGAACAAGAAATGGAAAAATGTCCTCGGGTGAGGATAAAAAAAAAATAAAGAATCTCTCCCCCAAGGCCTTTTTGTAGAAGAGTAGAAGAGGTGCCCTTCTCCTGCATGGGAGGCTGAGGAGTGGATTTGTGGGAGGGACAGCTCTAATTTCAGTGTTCTGTCCCCTTCTTCCATTCATTGAACAAATATTCATTATATTGGTACATGGCACTTATTAAGTGCTGAGTTTGCACCAGGTGCTTGTAAGTGCTTTGCCTGCATGTGTAGTTTGTTCTCCTAACAGCCCTTTGAGGTGGGTGCTGTTGTTAGCATCCCCATTCTGCAGGTGGGAAACTGAGGCACAGAGGACATAAATGTTCTGGTGGAGCCAGGATTATGTTTGCAGAGCCCTGCCTGACACTCTTAACTACTAGGCTACCCTGCCTACAGCAGAAACCCTGGGACTAATAAGACCCTGCTGCTCACAACCTAATATTTGTTCCCCTGAGCTGCTCAAGCTCGGTAGGTGTGGTCCCAGCTTCCCGTTCGAAGAGTTTGGTGGGCACCTTCATCGTCTAGAAGACATCAGGACAGGAATTAGGAGATGGAGGCCACCCAGTGACCCTGAACAAGTTCCTCTCTACCCTCCAGCTCAGCTTCCTCTGCCCTAATGGGTTTCTGTGTCCTGCATCCCAGGGTGTGAGGGTCCAAGAAGAGGAAGGGAATGGAAAGACGCCTTGAGCACAGAAGGCGTTACTGTTAACTCCCTCTCTGCTCAGGTCCCCCCATCCCCACCCTCAGAGCTGCCTGCTTCCCTTCCCCACACTGCGTTTTCTGCAAGGTGATGAGGTTAAGGTGACCGTCAAGGGTGGCCACGAAGGAAGGAGGGAGGCCAGCAGGTTCCAGGCACCTGCCGTGTGCCAGGTTGGACCACATGCTCTGCACAAGGTCAGGTGACCACACTCCGCTTGTGCAGGGACAAAGGCTCAAAGAGGTGGCTGGCTTGCCTGACCTCACCCACTGGGATTTCAGCTTCAAATCTGAGTGGCCTGGAAACCCATGCCCTTTCCAATTTGTGGGTGTGGAAGGGCAGCTTGGGCAGCCTGTGGGGTGTGTGGGAGAAGGACAGGACTCCGATGGTGGTTCCAGTTTCTGGGCTGACTCTTGGTAAGCTGACCAGGGACTCTCATTGCCTCTCTGGAACCTAGTCACCATTCCCAGAGGGGGTGTCTCCTTTTCCTTTAGCTGGTCCCACACCCTCTTCTGAGTGGGCCTGTTTCCTCCCATCTTCTGAGTTCTGCACACCCAGGCTGTGCGTGCGTGTGTGTGCGTATGTGCGTGCGTGCATGTTGCCAGCAGTGGGCAGAGGCGTTAACCATCACCCTCCAGGAAATCTCAAGTCATTTCAGTTACTGCTCTGTTCCTGTTGCTCTGCTCCCCTCCCTGCAAACTCTTCCTCCTTAAAACCAGGATGCTGACTCCTCCCCGCCCCTCCTGTCCTCTGGCGCCTCCCTAATAAAGAGGAATGGAAACTGAATCATCATTTCTTTCCAAGCAAACAGCCCAAACATTTGAAAGCCTGAATGTAAGCAGCAGTGCCCAGGATGTGTGGCAGCAACTCAGCCCCTCTGTCGGTTTCCAGAGCCACATCCAGCACAGAGGTGGCCCCAGAACATGACACGTGTGAAGCAGAGGTTGGAGCCTGTGTGCCCAGCTGGGCTTCAGTTAATTCTTTCACAGCTTTCTCTTTACTAGTAGCTAATATTTATTCAGTACTAACTGCTTGCAGGCAGAAGGCTGCAAAGTGGGAACCAGTCGTGTCCCCTTTACTGAAGAAAGGAGCCGCGAAGTCGCGGGGCTGACGGGCGGTACTGCAGCAGACCTGGTGCTGAACTGGGTCTGGGGGCCTGTCCTGCACACTGTAGGTTTTAGTGGCACCCCTGGCCTGTACCCATTAGATTCCAGTAGCTCCCCCACCCCAAAGTGTAACAACCAAAAATGTCTCCAGACGTTGATTAATGTCCTGGGGTGTGTGTGGGGTGGTGGGGGCGGCAAGCAAAATCTCCCCCCTGTTGAGAACCACTGTCTTAGCCTAAGGTGTGAGATGCAGAAGGTCAAGGGGAGATTGGGATACCTGACATCAGGGCTATTTCCTGCTGGTTACATTCATCCCCACTTGCTGGGCTCTTGGGGTGTTTAGCGGGGCCACTGCGCAGTAAGGGGCATGGGCCTAAGGGAAGAGCCCCATGTGCCAGGCGCCCTGCCTGACTTGCGGGGTTGGAGCCAGGACAAGGTCTCCTCCCGTGGAGTTTCATCCCAGCGAAGGAGCCAGTAGTTGGTCAGACCACACTCTGTGCAAGGGAGGGCGAGGCAGGAGGTGGGGCTGCTGGGACAGGGTGGGCTCTGAGGACACAGTTCTTCCACAGGGCCAGGTGGAGTCGAGCCAGGAGCGGAGGTGCTGCTGGGGCTTTGAAGAGACTCCTTAGGGCCTAAGGGACAGGAAGACATGGTGGGGCTGCTTCTGAGTGGGAATCTGAGAGCTGGAGTTCCTGCCCCCCAGGCCTGGGTGCACCCACCTCCAGAGGGGCTGGGAGATGGCCACCAGCAGTGCCCTGACCCTCCAGTCGAGGATCTGACATAACTTACAGGGTGTGGTGTTCTCCACTGTGCAGACTGGGTTTGCTTGAGCTCCAGACAGCGCTGCTTTTATTCGGAGCTTCACTGAAGCCTAGGCCTCCCTCATGTGGCTAAGTCAGCAACCACTGCCAGTTACTCATTCGGTGAGTCGGAGGGACATTAATTTTTTCCAGGGGCCTTGCCCTATTGATCCAGCAGTTAATTCCCCCAGATGACTCCAGCCCCTCGCTCTGTGACTGGTGACAGGGTTCCTAATTGACCTGGAACTGTAAGTGCTGGCCTGAAAGACGAGCATAAATTGGGAGGCTCCTTCCCAAAGAGTAGGGGCCTGAGACACCTGGTGTTTGATTCCCCTCGCAGCCA